CTTGGGTGTTGAAATAAAATTCCACTCGCGCACATTTATGTTTTTGTTGCAGCTATTGTGCTGAGAAAGATCAACGGCCGGCGGAGCTGTAACAGGTACGGAGGAGTTGAATGAGCTGCAATACCAATTCACTTGTTGTCAGGACAAGCACTCTGTAAGGCACTGCTTTCGTGTCATCCTCCTCAAGGACCAGACTGTGGACAATGTTTATGCAATTGAATATTGTACCCTACTTGGTAAGGGATTTGGGGTACCTGGCATTTCAAATTTTCGTTGTTGGCTGGATCCCTTCCTTCCTCTGGCTGTAGCCGAGCACCCAGCTGTCAAGTGCCCATCTCGGCGTTTGTGTCGCTGACTTCTGATTTAAGTTCAGACATCTTTCCCTTTCTGAGCAAGATTTTCTTGAGTGACTTCTGTCTTGTGTACCGCCGAGACAATGGGTAAAGCAGTAGACATTACGTACCATGGAGAGAGAGAGAGGAGGGTCGTAAAGTCTGATATTGTAGGAGCGAATTACTTTGGCTTGACGTGAAGTTTCTACTGACGGCGACAGGCGGCGATCTGGCTGGATATTGCACACGTGATCCCCTGTATACAAGCTCATCTCCCTTTACCTCCTTTCCGCCACTTTTGAGGGCGGGGGGTCCTACTCTAGACGACGTGTCCTTGATTATGCTAGGGCTATTTAAGACGACATGACACAGATAGATTGGAAGTTATTTGATGACGTTCTGGGAAATGATGTGAGATGAATGACAGACACGTGATGTAAGAGTAAGTTGAATACCAATCACAAGGTAACATGGAAAGGTGTATAAAAGAAATCGGGATTAACAAGATACAAAATACGTCTAGTTTATACTCAATCCAAAACCAAATACGGGAGATAAACAAAGTTGGAATTTCAGTAAATACAAATAGAGTGAAAATTGTAATAAACCCGAGGAAACTGCGATCTCAAAAACATCGGATCAGCAACAAATACAAGTGAGAATCGGACTGGGGCAGTCGTCTCAGAAACAAATCCCAGCCACAACCAGCAATCTTTGGTTCTCTACATTTTGTTTTCGATCCCGTGTGTCATAGTTTGTGGATTCATTTTACCAGTTGCTCATGCGAATCTAGTGGTATCTTATTATACGGATACATTAATGAATCCCACCCGTTACCCATGGAAGTACGATAGCATCCTCTTGCACACATTAATGAATCCAATCCAATATCCTAAGGAATATGATGGTATTTTGTTATACACAGAGGCTTCACGTAAAAACAGTAAATTAATCATCTGTACTAGCCAGTGATGTTTGCAATAGCGAGTGGTGTAAACGCGGGTTACCTCTCTAGTAAGGGGCCCCACAACGCGGGTTACCTCTCCAGTAAGGGGCCCCACAACACACCTTCACACAAGCGAGCCACAAGTGTTGACTGGTGGGGCTCAGCCGAGCTTTATATGTTTATGTTTCGCTGGCTGTTGTTATTGGAGCTCGAGCGTTGTATGATTGAGGGATTTACTTTTCCGGGAGAGCGGGATGATTCTCCCTTGTTTACCCAGCTTCACTGTATTTTTCCTCGGTGTTATCGCTTTTTATTTTCCATTGTTTCGTATTTCATTTAAAATTTTTACTCTTGTTTTCCAGTGTTGTTCATTTCACATTTTTTAAATTAACATTTTTCTGAGCGTTCCTCAGGGTATGCTGTTATTTTTCGACAAATTAACTTTTTACCTTGAACTAATGTAGCTTATTTCGATTTTTTTTATGTCGTCTTCCGTAGTAATCATCTTCTGTTTCTTGTCATTATCGTTTTCGTTTTTCCTGACATTGTAAAATTCAGTGGTCTCATAGTACCGAGGTGAAGGGAAGTTTAGTTTACACACATCTTGCCTCCCTTGACTTTTCCCTCCTCCACAATGGCTTTCGTTCATAGTGAGTATCATGTAGAAAATTCCGTCCCCTAAAATGTGTTATTCATCAGGGAATTTTGCGGGTGTTAGGTGGTGGGGATAAAAAGTCGCTTGGCTTTGTTGTGTGCCGTCTCCTAGTGACTGGTCGAATGTGGGGCTGCCTTGTCCACCGCAACATCTGGTCGGGTGTGTGGGGCTGCCTCATACACCGCCACTTTAATAGACTGGTCGGGTGTGTGGGGCTGCCTCATACACCGCCACTTTAATAGACTGGTCGGGTGTGTGGGGCTGCCTCATACACCGCCACTTTAATAGACTGGTCGGGTGTGTGGGGCTGCCTCATACACCGCCACTTTAATAGACTGGTCGGGTGTGTGGGGCTGCCTCATACACCGCCACTTTAATAGACTGGTCGGGTGTGTGGGGCGTGGATGACTGGAGGAATTATTTAGGCTTCTTGATATACCGCCATGTTGAAGGACGAAACAACTATATCTATGGCCGTCCTAGATCGGCGTTGGAGAATCTAATAGATAAAAAAAAAAAAATTGCAGTCTATATATTGCAGTGTGACGTTTCCTACTACAGTCCTTATGAGTTAATTTGGTATATGGTTGTGTTTAGGGTTTGAGTCAAAATTAATCGCCTCTGTAGTTTTGTTCACTGTATTCTCCGGAGCTTATCTACAAGATGTTTGGGGCAAGATCATTCTGGTTATTTATTACTCTCATTTTTTTTTATGCAACCTTGTCGAGTTGTGTCTTGTATGAAAAAGGAAAGACGGTTTGTTTGCATCATATTACTATGACAAAATGTTTTAATAATTAGTCATCTAGAAATTACTCAATCATTAGCTTCACCAATAATGATTAATAGATGTTTGAATGTAAGAATAATTATGAATTTTTTTTAGAAAACTATTTTGTTATTTTTTTTTTTTTTCCTGGTTTGTTTTTACTTCGCTGCACTAATCCCGGGCATTAGGGACCTTGAGTACAGAGACAAGTTAAAGCATCTTAATTTGCACTCCCTCGAGAGACATAGAGTGAGGGGCGATATGATCGAGGTTTATAAATGGAATTTAGGGCTAAGCAAAGGCGACATTACAATGGTACTCAAACTATCCAACCTGGAACTCACTCGTAACAATGGTTTTAAATTAGACAAATTTAGATATAGGCGCAAAATAGGTAAACTTTGGTTTAGAAATATAGTGGATGAGTGGAACAAGTTACCAAACATCATCATTAACTCGAATACGCTGGATAGCTTCAAACTTAGGTTGGATGGATATATTAGCGATAGGGGTTGGGTGTAAATGGTACTGCCCAGTATGGGTCAATAGGCCCTCTGCAGTTTCCTCCATTCTTATGCTCTGAAATTGTACTAGAAGATGGAGAGAAGTTTGTGTACGCTAAGCTATATATAAATATTTAAACAATAAGCTGAGTGTCAGATTATACTGTATATACTATCGTTATTTACTATAGTTTGTGAAAAATTTGGGCATCTTTCGTATAATGGGAAGAAAGTGTTCCAACAATGTTGCGGGTGTGCGTGCGTGACAGGTTGAGTTACTGGGCTGGACGCGCGCCACTGTCTCCTGTCACCGCCAGCAGCCCCTCCTCCCCACATTGGCGGCTTTATCACCTCAACTTTGTCTCCGTCCTCACACACCTTTAGCTTTACCCAAAATCTAAGAGTGCCACGCCTCTCAACCCCCGGTGTTATCATTTTGTAAGTCGATTCTTCTTGTATTAAGTACAGTAATTTAAGTTTTTTAATACAAGCTTAAACAATGGGTATGTTAATATAACCTCACTGATGGTTAATAAAGTCCTTGATTGCGATAATGTAATCTGTATGTTAATTTAACCCCGCTAATGCCTAATAAACTTGATAGCGACAATACATCCCTATAAATACTGTGAACTAACATCCCTGAATATCTGAACCTTTTTTTTCAAATAATTTAGTGAACACATTGGACCTTGGTTTGTGATAATTGACGTCAGATTTAAAAACGCCTTTTTGTTCATAATGTCCCCTAATTGCAATAGTTTAACCCTCCGCAAGTAAGTCTTCGTGGTTTTAAAAAGTGTGTTAACTCAAGAAACTAGTAATAACGAGGTTCTTTCCGCACCCTACGGGTTTCTCATCACTGGGACAAGAGAAACGTGGTGCCCCCTGTTAGTCTGATCACTGCCCTAATGAACACTGATTGTCAAAACCATCCTAATTACTGGGAGAAATTTACTCTCTTGGGCGATCCAGCTAATTAATTCTCTATCAGGGTGGCCGAAAGCCGTGCAAGTTAACTATTTTAATTATGGCCATATAACACGTTCAACTCGGGTGTGAAGTCTGCAACTTAGCATAGCTTAACGTAACGTAATAGCGATATCCCTTGCAGTGGCAGGCATCTATTACCTCTAAGCTAGTAGCGTGCGAAAATCATCTATTCAGAGGAATTAGTGTGAAGCCATCAGGAGCTCTTCTTACTGTCGGGAAATAATGGTTTACTGCCGGAGGAATCTCGACCTCATTACCATATAATGACCGAGGGTCTACTTGGATCGTGCCGCCAGCACCACGGTATCACCATACCTACCACACGAGGTATAATAAGTTTAAAATTCGGTACTTTGTGTGTTTATAGTGATTAGGAATACAAAGAAATTCGTCGTGGTGTTGTGGCACATATTGTAGGGTTTAGTTGACGCATACTCCTGGCTGATTGTTTGGTAGTGTTGACCTGGCGACGGTTACGGTTGAGGATGTGGGCTAATTTTCAATGTTAAGTCAGACACTGGATAAGGCCGATGTGTTCGGAAAGACCAAAGACCGTATTGTACTTGGGTACTTGGGTAACGGAGGAGGTGGATATTATTCGTCTGCCTGCAAGGGAGGACGGGGAGAAAGTACACTAGTGGAGAGAGGCCTCTGTTTTTAATAGTTGAACTGACTTGTGCACGTGTTTGAAGACCTTAGCTGTTAAATTACAACACTGTAACAACAATATTACACAGTTTGGGTGACTGAATATTATTATTTCAATTATGCTTTTATTGACGGTGGCTGTTTCTTTCCCCAGGACGATTGTCAGAACTACATTCGGGTTCTTGCCAAGGAGGGCGAGGGTCAGTTCCTCGTGTGTGGCACCAACGCTTATAAGCCGCTATGTCGCCGATATGCTCAACAGGTAAGCACAAAGATTGTCATTTATATACTTTGGATAAGCACCAAGGCAATCATTCATACAGGCAATGGTAATATGTAACATAAATGATGAATGCTTATTTACACGTTGCAAAATTAAGGCTCAACATTTATGCATTAAGTTCCATCAGGTAAGGGTGCCATGGAGTTAATTAGTACTTCCTGATTTCTTTTATCTGGTAACAGTGGATTAAATCAAAACCACGCAAACTTGGATTTGGGTTAAATAATAATGCTGCAGTATCTTTACAAGTCCCAATATCCAGTTTTAATTAAATAGTTAAATGTAGCCCTGGTAATCATTTTCTTTGATATTGTATTTATGAAAAAGTTAGGTCATAAAGTAAGAAGCTCCTACACTTCAATTCACATACTGTGCCATGATACCGGTGGTGCGAGATGTCATTCTCCCAGAACGAAACGTGTCGAGCTCATAGTTGAAAAGAGGAACCCGCCACCCTCCCTCCAGGTCCTAACTCTTACATTGTTGGTAAAGTGAGCACGAGGGATTTTATTATCTCCTCAGTATTATGGTCATGAGTGAATGATGCGCAGATAGGATATCGGGAATCAGAGTTGCTATGATAGTGATGGAGTGACTGGTCAACCTTATCGTAATTGTGGTGGGTCAAGATATTATAATTAACTATGGGATCCATTCTACATGATTTGGGACGGAATTAATTTTTGTAAAACGCAATGAAGGGTGATTGGTAGTTCTCTGGCCTTCTCCTTGAACATAGTGATGGCTGGTGGGGGTTTTAAGCCTAGCTATTCCTTAATATCACAGTTTTAAGGCTAATTAAACGCCCAGTTTCCTTTGCGTCTACATTCAATATACTGTACATTCTTTGTGGCCCTTGTTTCTGCTTCCTCTGCTTGACTAGACGGCTGGAGGCTAAAGCAAACATAACGCGTTAGATAAATTAATTTTCACATGCTGTAACTTTTTTGAACATTTATAATCTTTTAGTAATGCCTTTTTCTGTTTTCATTTAAATATAAAATATTGTTTATTATCAAGATGCAAGATTGAGTATTAGCCGTCATCACTTATATTTTGGTGACACGCATGGAGTCTAACCTCATCTGCATGGCCTCACTATAAACCCAACCGTCATTGCTGTACTTTGTTTCCCCCAATAGTCTTCTCGTGCCTTCACTCTGTATTATTAGAGGTTTTAATGTCCCCACGTTTTTCTGCGGCGAGTACACGGATGGTAGCCTGTGTTTGCACCCTCTTAAACAAGTCTGGCAGGACCCTCTCTACAGTCTGCTCGTGTCTGCTATAGCGGCGTTCCCTCTTAAGAAATATTACACTGATTTTTAATAAATTGTGATAATAGAAATGGCGTAGCGCATTTACAACATTGACCTGACTGACCTTGGAGAACCGTAACCTGGTTGCCTGACCTCCTGTCGATACTTCCCCTGTAAATCATGGAGGGAGATGGATTGGAAAAAATTAGATTGAAATTTTCTATAAAATGAATACCGTAAGACACTTAGAGAGAGTCTGATTATTTTTTTTAAAGCAGAATTCGAATATACATTAAGTCTGCTAAACTGGTTAAAAGATAGAACGATTAACATGTAAGAGAAAGGGGTATGGTAAAATGATTGTAGTGGAAAACAAAGGGAACCATTTATTGAACTACTTTTGTTCGCGAAGGAGCGGTGAAAATATGTGTAAGATAATAGTCACCACCACCTGAGTAGAAAGGATAATTGGTATGCCTTCACTTTGAAACTGACCGGCCATTACCCTCCATGGCTGGGTGTCTGTCACGAGTTGTTTCACCGCCACAAAAGACGGCAATATTGAAGAGGGAGGTGGTCATTTGGGGAAGACAAAGACTTAACAAAGTGGGTCATTGGAGGGGCTGTCCAAGTGGCTCTGGCACCTTTGTTGGGCCTGAACATTTTGGCACCGATCGCCGCTTTCCCCTCTTTCACTGTCTCTATCTAAACCTCCACTGACTATGAATCCTGCCGTGCATTATGTACCCTGGCCTTCATTTTTTTTTATTATTTATTCCATTGACTGAGTACTGTATATGAAAGCCTGTCTTGTTTCGGTAAAGTTTCAGAATACATTAGTTTTTATGCCATTTAAGGCCTTACGAATATATCTGCGACGTATCTTCAGTCGCCGAGATAAAGTATTTGTTTTAAGGTTTCTGGAAAAAAGTCATAATGTTGGTGAGGTGACTTTTCTGTAACCTTCTTTTCCTGTTACTTTTTTCCTAGATTCGATTTAAGCTCCTTTGTCCAATTTATTAAACGATATTAGGTAATGGTTTTCCATTTTGTGTCATATTTCTAGGTAAGTTCTTTATACCTGCCATCATTTTCTCCAGTTACTTTGATATCCAAGCTTCTTAAAATGCATTATTAGTCAAGCGATTTCTGGTTGCTAGTACACATAACCAGATATCTGAGATGGTCGCTGGCCGAGGGGTCGAAATTGAAAACAACAAAATTTTTGAACCAGTAAGCCTAAAAACACGAGTGAACTATGAACTTCAACTAATTTTGGGGTGAAAATTGATTAGAGTGGTTATTTTGAGGTTTTAAGGTCATCGTAAGGGTAAAAAATCCATACTAGATGTCAAAATGGGTCAAAATTGACATACCTGTATTAGAATAACACAATTTTCATTGATCATGGCTGAAAATCGGTGGTATGAGCTCTGCAGCCTCTACGTCATCATCCTCAAAATTAAGGGGATTAGCAATGAGAATTGACACCATGTCCAGCGGCATCATCTCCGGATGTGTTGATTTGAATTCCAGTCCCTCTGCTCCCTGAACCCAGCCATGTAAAGTCAGTTCTGGTAGGTGGGGCTCCAGCGACCTCCTCCATGGCGGGGTTAAGGTCGCCTACAACCTCTCATGCGTTAGCTCTTTGGCAAGGTTTTCCAACAGCTTGACGGTCTCCAATAGAATTTTGCCTCGACAGACCTCATACTGCTGGAGCAGAAGTCGCTCCAGTGCTTCAAGCAAGGTGTTGAGCACATAGCGGCAAAGGTTATAGTGCTTGTCACTCGGCACTGCTCATCACCACTTCCTTCCATGGACTTCCAGATGGCACCCCAATACGCACTGCTTGTGTGAGAGACGCCAAGTCTGATGAACGTTTTGGGGCTTTTCTCAGGGCATTGCCACGTAGTAGCAAATTTTGTGTGTTTTTAATGATTCAATACTTCTTACCGATTATTGAAGACTTCCTTTTGTGTGTTTTTAATGACTCCGGTAATTTAAACTTGCTACCTAAAGATCTACTCTGTAGGATTTAGCTATACAGTATTTACTTTTTGAATGTGAAAAATGCATACTGTATTAATGTTCTTTGCTTCTTTTTTTCACGGTATGCACTTTGCATTTTTACCCTGTGCTTGTTTAGAGAAGGGCTGTGGTCACCAACCCTCCGATATGTGGGCGGTACTTTGATTGTGTGGACACTATTTTGAATGTATTGATAGTGTAATGGTGTTAATAGTCATATTATGTCCACAGTCTGATGGCAGCTTCAACTTTACTGAGAGTACCGGTGCCGGCCGCTGCCCCTACGACCCCCGTCACAACTCTACCTTCGTCTATGTTGGTGAGCGACCCTGACTTCCAGATTACCAATTTGTAAATACTGGCCAATTATGGTGACCTGATATTAATATTTTGTTTTCATTAATTCTCTCCCCTTCTCTTACTCTCATACAGTACTGTACTTAAATTTAGAGAGTAATATGGTAGGTATAGTATTGACTTGACTTGAACATTTACTTTTTCCAGACGGAGAACTGTACTCTGGAACAGTAGCAGACTTCCAGGGCACGAATCCTCTCATCTTCAGATCTCCCTTGAAGACCGATCATAATGACTACAAACAATTAAATGGTACCTTAATATTTCTTTATTAAAATATGCATCCTTAACTTCATTTAACAACTGGAGGGGTTTCAAACTCTCTGGCACCTATATTATTAAATGTTTGTCATGATGCCTTTCCCAAGAATATGAAATTACATTTATTCAGAATTGCAGGAAAATATAAAAATTTTTAGTTACTTATATTGTAGTTATTATATTTATTAGACTATGTAATTCAAATAAATCTTAATTAATAGCATTGCCATAAGTGCTTTATTAATTTGTAATTGTTTAATTTTTTCTTCCTTTAGCACCTGATTTTGTGCACTCATTTGACTATGGAGACTTTGTCTTCTTCTTCTTCCGGGAGACTGCAGTCGAATACATGAACTGTGGAAAACGTGTATACTCTAGAGTAGCTCGTGTGTGTAAAGGAGACAGAGGTGGTGGACAGCAGCGGTTTAAGTTGTCATGGACTTCTTTTCTTAAGAGCAGACTCAACTGCTCCGTCCCAGGGGACTACCCCTTCTACTTTGATGAAATCCGTGAGTTTAGAAAAATACTTAGTATTTATATATATATATATATTAAATCAAGATAGATTGCAATTATGCCTTCATGAGTCTATACCTTTTTATTAATTTCTTATAGGTACAGTACTAATTATACTCTTGTACATCAGAGTCGACGACAGATGTCATCTCCGGCGTGTATGGTGGCGAAAGTCATGAAATCTTATATGCAGTATTTACAACGCCTCCCAACTCAATCCCAGGGTCAGCTGTGTGTGCATTTTCTGTGCGCTCTATTTTAGACACTTTTGAAGGATCCTTTAAGGAGCAAGAGACCTTAAACTCCAACTGGTTATCAGTCCATCAGTCTAAGGTACTGTAACCATTACCATTCATCTTGGTAAAAGAAATGATTTAGTTATGTATGAGATAATGGCTGTTGGTTTTGTATACAATTATTTTCTTGGAGCTGTGTGGGAAACCATGTAAAGTACACCATGTATATTTTCTGTATTTAAAAAATATATACTGTATGCAATACTCGATAATTTGTCACTCTTTTTATTTATTGAGATGTTTATACAGTGTCTGTCTATTACAGGTGCCAGAGCCCCGTCCTGGTAGTTGTGTTGAAGACAGTCAGACATTGCCCGAGTTCAACATTAACTTTGCCAAGACTCATCCACTGATGGATGAAGCTGTTCCAGCCTTCTTTGGCCAACCTCTCCTCATGAAAGCTTCATTTGAGTAAGTGTCCAAATTTAAAAAAAGCCAGTTCACCTCCTGGCATATCGAGGAAAGTTTTGTAGGTAATGTACTTATAGAAAAGTTCTAAATTTGTATGTACAGATAAATATAGTTATACTGAATTATATAATATAATTTTGATTTCAGAATGTGAACTGTATTTAATTTTGTTTGCAGGTTACTGTTATAAATTTATTATTGTTGAGTAGATTGATTTGTTGAAAATGTAATGTAACAGAAAAAGAAATAATACTGCACAGTATTGACAAAAATACGATCAACGAATGATATCTCTTAACCCATAGATTGATCACATAAGGGTTACGGTTGAGGATTTTTCTTACCACTAGTGAATGAAATGATGATCAGTTTGTCATACATTAATGTAGAAAACACTAATCCCATCCAATTTAATGAGAGGTTTTGAATTTATTTTTTGCTTGTGTGTATTTTCTTTATCATTGGTATATTTTACTCTGAATCTAAGTGTTTCTTGTGATTCCAGTTACCGTTTCTCAAAGATGGTGGTTGACCCACAAGTTACTTTCCTGGATGGCAAGACTGTTGATGTGCTCTTCATAGCCACAGATAATGGAATAATCTTCAAAGCCATCAACACACTTGCATCAGAGGGTATCAAGTAAGTTTTTTCTTAAGTGGACTTTATTTGTAATTCCTGCTTTGTGGCTTTGTGATTTTATTTGAAAATTGTCACTGTTTGAAAATATTTAATGCAATTTTTGCCATAAATTGTTTCAGTTTCATAAGTCTTTGCCAAACTAGATCATTAATGTCTCTCATGGTCATCAATATGAATGTAATTTTACATAGAGTTTTGTGGCTTACCAGTATCTTCCAAACATTGTTAGCACCAGTTTGCTAATGAGCAGAACTGTGTATAACTTTTGGAAATAGTTACTGTATTTAAATTTGTATGTGCTTTGTATGAGGTTATTTTTAAGAACTTGGATTATGTTACCATGTGTAAATGATTAGTTTTGGGATACTGTACCTTACTTTTTATTTTGTAGGTTATAGCAACACTTTTACAATGCTGTACCTATTGTTATGACACTACATGGGAAGTAATGTACAGTAGCTAAAACAACTATCTGTGCATACTTTGTGGGAAACAATAGGAGACCATGGATGATAAATTTTTGTATATGAGGGCTGTCACTAGTCACATGTAAAATTTCGGAGCACATTGACCCTCACCTGCACAGATAGTTGTTTTAGCTACTGTACACGGGATCCTTTTCAGTGAATGAGGTTTAATTCTATTGGATCTTGTTTATCTCTTGGGAAATATAGGCATGCTTCCGTGGTCCCCATTAATTCTTGCATAACCCCTGAAAATATTTTCATTTATAAGAATTTAAAGCTTCTAAAGCCCAAAAATTATTATCCTATACTTCTACAGCCCAGCAGGCAGCCCATCCCTCCTAAACCCACAACAGCAATATTCACATTGCTTTGACCAAGTTGACAGAACTGTTGCCTTAATGTACAGTATATGTAACTCATAACTGTGGATGTGGTGATGGAGTGGATATAGTGCTCACCTCCTGTACTCAGGGTTGCTGGTTCATGCCTAGGGTACCCCCAGTCCATTCAGCTGTGATTGGGTACCTAACTTTACAGTTGGGGAAGTAAAGGTGGTCAAGTGTAGAACTGGCCTCATTGCTGCCATGTGTACAGTGTGCTGTACTTGCACAGCTCAAGGTGGGCTGTCTATTCTATGAGACCCATTTCTTTTCACATTATAACCAGATTTTTACTTGTCTGTTTTAAGTTATTGAATCTACATTGGAAAGTTAAATAAAGAATGGAGTACTGTAGTCTTTTTTTTTTTTTTTACTGTCTGCACAGTATTGAATTTGAGAAGGTCTGGATCACATTAGCCAGAGAAATAAGATCTGTGGGAGGAAAGTGAATCCCAACATTTCATAATATCTAAAGTGCTCCCAAGGGCAGAAGATGGTACCTGCTGTATTACCCAAGAGCATACAGTACAGTATATATATTTTTTACTATTTAGGATAAGCAAGCATTCATGATAGTGTAGAGCCATATATTAATTTTTCTGGTTTATTTGCAGCAACATTGAGCCTGTGGTGATTGAGGAGATCAGAGCATTTGAGGACTCTGTTCCTATTATGAATTTACAAATTGCACAGCAAGCTGGGGGAGAAAGCAAGCTTATTATTATCACAGATGACGAAGTGAAGTCAATTCCTCTACACCGCTGTCACCGAGCCACCACTTGCAGGTAAGATCATCTCTAGTGTATATTAATTCAAATCTCCAAAGGATAAACAGGATTTTGTATCAACTTATGCATATGGAAAATTAATATTGTGATAGCTTTGTAAATGTCATTCTCTTCTCCAGTACAATACTGTACTGTAAAGGGTGCTCCAGAGTCATTTTCATATTCCGTACAGAACTCTTTGTACCTTTTATTTCAACAGACTCATGTACTGAATTTAGTACTTTAATGATTATACAGGATGGCATAGCAAAAAAATTTCTGTATGCTGTACTTCACTATTATTGTGCCTGTATAGCTTTAACACCACAGTACAGTACTTTAGAAAACTAGCAGAAGTTTTTGAGGTGAGGACAGTACTGTACTTATAAACTAAATTTAAAGAAGTTATCCAGCAGAGGTTTTGGAAATTAGTTCTTAAGACCGTATTCACAGTTGACATACCCAACAGTAAGTCCAACCATCTCTAATCCAAACTGCATGTAGGGAGACGTTATTCAAGAAATGCTTCAGGCACTACGATGGGTCAGGGTCCTGATCCACTGGGTAGGGCTACCAACTTTTGCAAATCGGCTGGATGGCCCACTATTGCCACAACCCAGGCATATAGTACATCAATAATAGTTCCCTCAAATACATGCCCCCAAAAAAGTGTATCAACACAAAAAAAATGTTTTACATCATATGACCAAACGAACATAAAAGAGTTCAGAGGATGTCAATGTGATATAGAAATTATTATTTTCTGGTGTTTGTGAGGTTTGTTTTGAAGGTTATAATTCACTGGGTGTTGGCCACACTGGGATGGCTGGTGGTTGGTTTGCCACGAGTCAGCTGTCACAACATAGCGAGGGAAATATGGATAGCTTTGAACGTAGTGCATCTTTCAATGTATATGAACAAGACTTTGTCATCAACAAACTCATTTCCTATCAGTTTTGAATATATTCTATCGCAGTACAATACTGTATACAGGGTACTGTACTGTATCAAAATTTGGAGGGTAAAAATTTTATTATATTCATTGGGACTGCCATTGGGCAGGTACCCCCCTCCCGATGAATTGTTCCAACAATCCCAGTAGGAAACCTGACCCACCTGAACTGCCTTTGGATCTGCAGGCATCTCTGAATAACCACACAAGACTGTGTTCCCGATTGGTCGGGTGGTGTAACGACTGTGAATAAGGCCCTTTGATTATATGAAGTTATGCAATTTGATGTATTGTTCCTGTCTTAACAGTGCTTGTGTTGGACTACAAGACCCTTACTGTGCCTGGTATGAGGGGCAAAGCACTTGTGGCCCATTAAGTGCTAAACTTACGGGACCTGCCTTACAAAATATCACCGGTAGCCACTTCCCCTGCCCCTACAGTAAGTCATACTAGTTTTTATAGGTACAGTAAATTAATGACTGCCATGTGAAGAATGTATTATAGTTCAATAGGTATATGGTTGATATCATTTAACTTAACTATGGGTAATTTTTTCCATATGGTTAAATACCCATGTTTCCTTGTGTTGTTGTTGTGAATGTCTTAGAATGTGAAATATAGTTTAGTAATATGTTTATGTTTTCCTTAAGTGTTGAATACAGTATACATAATACCTTTTTAATTAATATAGGAACATAACCACTGCAGTGAATGGTGGGGTAAAATTCCCCTTTTAATTTGTCTTTTTTAATAATACTGTACTGTACTGTACTGTACTGTGAGAATGGAACTGTGTGCATTAGTTATTTTGTCAAAATGAGACATAATTATAACCTGCTCTCTGCTTTGTTAAAACATTAACCTTGGGCACCTACCCCACAAGTTTTGTTAAATATTTCTATTGTTACTAAGTTGTGCAAGGCGTAATGTGTTATTGTTTTCTTATTTTGCTACTAAGCTCGGTTTCCTTTATAAGTTGTCTGTAGCATAAAACTATTATTAAGATGCCCTGAACTCATTTGCTAGAAAATTTCTAAGAACATAAGTTTTGTAGCAGAGTTAACAGATTTGTTATTTTTGCTTTGCACAGACACACTTGTTAAGAAAAACCTCTTGATATTCAGCTCTGTGTTTGATCCCCTCTTGTTGCTGTTAATGCATTATGTAAATATTATGCAAGCACAGTCTGTCTACTTAAGTTGATACTCAAGAATTTATCTTTAGCTATAACAGAATTTGTAATATGCATCATCAAACTCAATACAACTTATGTAACAGTTGTTTATGTTCATATTTAACTTGTTATAATAGTACTGTATCTGATAACTAGTCATAGGTAGAGAATGTCCTGTAGCCAACATTGTCTTGTTGCATCTGTGCTTAGCATGGCCACGCTTTATTACAGGCGCTGAGAATGAAGTATACAATCCATCCACCCAGATACAAACAACGGGTAAGTCTGAAACTTATTGTTTTCCAAACCATGTTTGGGTCACATCTTGCTCCATATACAATATGTGTCACTGATGTCTTTCAACTTTTCAGCAGTGTTATATTTTACATAGAACATTTATCATGCGCACTAATTTGTTTGTTGTTTATAATTATTAAACTATTTTTAGTAATTTATGTGTAATGTATTTACAATATACGAGCTGTATCTCCATTAATATGCGACACTGCATTCTTATGTTTATCATTTATTAAAATTTGTATTGTTTGTTCTGATTACTATACTCAACCTGTTTTCCACTGCACATTTCACATACAGCTCACTTAGATCTCTGTTTAAGCACCAGTATTTGCACATATCACAAAACCTTTTCCTATTTACTTGACTTGTGCATTTGCCACCAAGCACCACAACCCAGCCTCATTACCTTTTATTATCTAACAATAGAATTGCCCAAGCTGTTCACTAAATGTTAATTCATACTCATAGTTTCATGTGAAATTCACTCGATATTTTCACATTTGTGGAGTTTACTTTGTATTGCTTGAAAATCAACAAGAAATTTTTAGTTACATAATCCATTGATATAGATAAAAAAAAAACTTTTTTTATTCAGTGAACAATTCCATTACAATATGTTTAATACATACTGTACTTTATCTAGAAAGTTTGATCACAGTAATTACGCTTTTGGACAGTTTAATAACATCATCTTAGCCCTTTTTAATTGACAAGTGCTGATCCATGTTAACCTAACGATCCATTGAAAAGTTCTTGACATGTACTGAAATTCATATCATTGGCAACATTTAGGAGTTTTATGGTGAATTAGAGCATTCATAGCTCAGGCTGTGATGGCTGGTGATGTAGAGATCTTGAGGAGTACACTCCAAAATTATTAGTCACCATAATATAAAGGAAATACTATTTTATGGGATTCATCTAATTGTCCATTTGGGTTATGCTCCGCTCACAGAGGCTCCAAGCCTTCCAGAGGTGGAGACGTGTGCCCCATGTGTCTGTCCTGAGCCTCCTCCCTCCTCGCGTCCACCCCCTGTTACTGAAGTTATCCCCACAGAGGGTCAGTTTTGCAGCACGGTAACCTACGTAGTGCCATCTCTTATGATCTCCTTTCTTTGTATTCTAAAAAATAAGTAACAGTTTATTTCTTATATTGACTTTAGTATAAAGTACAGTAATACTGTTTGAGTATTTATAGTTTTCATGTGCATACTAAAGAAAATTTAAACCAAAAACAAATCCTGAGGAAGATTTTGATACATGGCATTATGGAGACAGATGTTCTGCTCACAATTTGAACTGAGTACTAATGAGTTGGAATTATAATTTCAGGTGGAAAATGAAAGTAAATCATAGGTCTTCCATACCATACTAACCCTGCATGAATGTGCTTATGTGGTATTATATGCCTGAGAATCTTCATTTACTGATAATCCTTCCTCACTCTCTTGTGCTACCAGCTCAAGAACTCTACTGTACTTCACAAACTTCTCATGGACAACAACAGCATGGGCTTTTCAGGTTCCAGAACAAGGGTTGAAAGAATTTATATAAGCCATTCCTGTCATATGAATTTCTTATATTACTGATTTCATTATGCCAAGTAATCATGTTGTAATATTGTCAGTTTGACTGTACCCAAGTGTTCATTTGATGCCACAAGAATGTTCTTTAAATTATTTCTTTACTGCAGGGTTACCTTTTTTCTTGCATGTCGGTGATGGAATCTATCCCAGGCTTTCAGTTTTCTGTTGCTTCTTGCTGAACTTTAAAGTTTAATGTCAGTCTGACCCCCTGACCCTTTGTACCTGCAGGGTCTGTGGATCATTCAACCATTTACGATCCACCCTTGGAGGAGGATAACCCAACCTTCGATAATAAAATCCCTCCGCTGTCACCAGGAAAGGACAACATTATTCCCAACAACAATGTTCCACATGGTGTGTCCGATGATGGAGAAATATCCAATGATATCCTCCCCGGCAAGGAAGTTGGCATCGCTTATGCTGAAGGAGGCATTACTGGTAAGCCTAGTCCACAATACCTAACAGGCAGGTCATGGGATGACATCACTAAACAATTCCTAATATGGGCTTGAACAGAACCTCACTTTGGGATGATGTTTAGTAATCCCAAAGATATTTTAAGCCCATATTAGGATTTCTTTGTGTATTTAACTTAACACCTACATGTTTAGAGACCCCCTACTACCCCTTTCCATATAACACAGTGGACTGACAAAATCAGTACAAAATGTTGTGGGTCCTGTGAAATCTTTAGTTTCCCTCCCCATGCCTTTGGATGCAAATTTCTTTTGTCTCCCTGACCAGCTGTTAGTTGCCTGCCCTGGCCCGACCCTCACTCTCAACACTGACCTCTGACTGTTGATCTTAAATTGCACAAATGCCTTTGTGTGTTGCAAAACTTTCTTCACTGCTTTAAACTTTTTTTTTTATTTGCTAATATTTTCTGTGTTAATGTAGTCATGTGCATACTAACCTAAGTTTTGAAATAATGTGCACCTGTATTTGTAATAGTGCATGTACATATAATTTGGGGGTTTTGTAGATGCTTTCACTGACTATGAGCTTTTTAAAAATGCAGAAGCACATAATGCTTTAGGATTACAATACCTGTAGTCGCTTATAGGCACATTGCACTTCACTTCATGCAAAAAGAAAATCAAGAATTATAGTCTTTGAAATATTGATGCCTTTAGTCTTATGGAGTACAGTACATTATTATACACTCACCCACTCACATTTAGAAATAGAAGTTAATGCAAATCACCTAATGAATAACAATATGTAGAGCTATTGATTATAAATAAAATATTTTCACTGCATGGCTTTTTTTACATACAGAAAGATGTAGTACTAAGCATTCCAGATAATAAACAATATTACTGTATTTGAAAGACACTAAAATTACTGCGACTTTACCCTGGACTGGACTATGGGACTGATAGTGCTTAGTAATGATGACTACAAGAGAACTAGTGTATTATTATTATAGCAAATTTGTTTTAGATTTGGATATTGTAATTAGAGTATTAACTACATTTGTGAAGAATGTGGAATTTTTCACAAAAAGATTAATTAACCATTTCATTAGATATCTGCATGATGAATTTTGTGTACAGCTCATTTTTTTTCTGTAATTGAGTGTTACATTTAACATGATGAACTTTGGGATTGAATAGCTTCTGATGTTTTATGTGTGTGATTTACTGTTTTCATTTTTATTTTAGTCTGTTGTTCTTTCCTTCTGCCTGCCTTTATCTGTTGCGTCTCTCTTTATTAGCTTCATTAAGGATCCAGTGTATTGTCTTCCAGTCTAACAAATTACTCTTGTGTTTTGAGTGTAGCTGTAGGCCCTGATTACCTACTCATTTTTACCTCCATTTTTGAATGTAGCTCATTAACCACCAGCGACCAGTGCCAATTTCATTAATGTTTCTTGCGCTCCTCCGTCTTATGCCACCACGTTATTATGTTTAGCAATAAACTGTATGGAAGTAGATTGATGATTGTAGCTACTTCTATGTCACTATCTGTAAGTATGAAAATATTATAATACTGTATATTGTATTATGATTTCTGAAGTTCAAGAAAGTAGAGATTTTTAAACCTTGAAGTATTGTACTTTTTTTTTTAAGTTTCAAAAAAGATACTGAACTAGAATTTCTAAAATGCTGCTATTAAGCATGAATTTTTTTTATTTGTGACAGGATATCAAGCCTTCAGTTCTCAATAATTGCTTTGCAGTGAAAATTTATTTTGCATAAGCAGTGCCAACTTTCTCTACTGTAAACTAAGTTCCATGCTACCATGAAATATGCACTGCTTAGCATGGGATGCACATCTGCTCCACAATTTTAAGCTAAATTTATAACAGTTGGTGGTGATGGTTGCTTTTGTTATGTATCTTTTGCCAATATTGTTTTCTTTTTTTCTTTTCTTTTACATTTATGGGCCAATAGAATAAAGTTGAAACATGAATCAAAGGCAAGGCAGGCAGAATGGACTAGGCTTATATTCTTTATTCTAATTCATTAATATAATTTGTTGAAAACTGCTTTACAGATTTTCTTCTTCATTATAGAGATGGAAGGAGAGGTCACAATCCAAGATACATATGCTCAAAACTTGAAGATCTTCTGGGTTGATAATAAAATCCTTAACTGTCATATATTGTTTATTTTCAGATCTATTATGATACTGTATTTATTATGTAGTATATTATATGTAATTATTTTAATCAATATATTGCTTTCATAACATTCATTTTTACACATTGTGTAGTGACAATTATTTACAATCTTTGTAAGGCCTTGTGAATGCAATACCCCATTCCTGTATGCAGTAACAGGCTCCTTCATACTGTACTTTATAGGAATCATATAAGTTCATATGATCCCCTTTACTGTACGTATTTGTACAATTCATCTTAAAATTTTTAGGAGTCACTGATAAAAGAAAATTATACAATAGAATGTTAATTTCCAGGAGGAAACTACAGATTTTGAGGTTATAATTTATGGGGGAAAAGGGATTTATTCCCTGTTTGCAGGCCATCCAGTTGGATATGGCCTTGGCTTTGAACTACCTTTACAATTTTGCATTTTTCACTGATAGTTTGGGCACATTACATCCTCTTTGTAAATCAGAGAGATGTGGAAAGCATCTTAGTTAGTACAGAAGCCTTTGTACTAAGTACTGTACAGTACTAAGTGGTGATACCAGGAAATAAGTGAATTTAGCCACACAAACAAATGTTAGAAAGCATAAGATAGATTCTTATGTCCATGACAGATGTGTTGATAAGCACCGAGAGGAAATTAGAAAATATTTTTCAGTAGATTTACTACTTTCAAATTTTTTGCTGAAGGGTTTTTTTTTTACTCCGATATTATTCATGGTTCTGAGATTATATCCTTATGCAGTAAATTAAATGTACAGTATTTAATAAATTACAGACAATATTAAATTGTTGTACTGTAGCTTATATCAAACCCAACCCAGTACAAAAAAGAAATAACATCATTTTTCATTACTGTATACTTAGCTTGTCCCAAAGCCTAAGAAGTAAAGAGAGATGTATATAGCTGCTCCCCGACTTACGATGGGGGTTAGGGACCGACATCCAGGTCGTAAGTCAAAATGGTCGTAAGTCGGAAATGCTTAAATAATACACAGAAAATCTAAAATGGGGTCTCTTTTTCTTCTCAGCACCACAAAACACTCATTTTTAAGCTTGCCAGCTATTTTAAAGTGAATTACAGATGAAAATTTTGTCTGTGTACTGACTTTGGGACTCGAAAATACGTAATTTGACAAAATTTTGTTACGACTGAGGCAGGTCGTAAGTGCGGGTGGACGTAAGTCGAGTAGGTCGTAAGTCAGGGAGGAGCTGTACTGTACAACTACCACCAGTATAGGTCAGCATCCACAATCAGAATAAGTTTTATGCTTGTTCGTATCATATGGAGCAGATAAGAATTAGATTAAATTTAGTCAAAGTAGTTTTTGATTGTCATTACCCTGGATGCTGTAATTTGCGTAATTGAGAAATTAAACCCTGAGAAATTTTTCCTTAAATATTTCCTTAATGACAATTCTATTTGATATTCCCCTTGACTGTCAGACAACACAGTATCAAAAAGCATGAAAATAGTGAAAAGCCTTTCATATACAGTACTGTACTGTACTTTGATGCTTGTTGTGCTGTCTCCCTTTGTCTTTTTAATCTAAAGGTATTGTTCTTCAGCTGTGATGACACTGCATATACTTTTGCTATTTGGTACACTTTAAATTCAATAGTTTATACATGACTTCTGTGTCCTGCAGGTGCATAGCAGTTAATCATCGAACCAGTGTGTAGTGTTTCTTCAGTAGACGCAGGCCTAAACTAGATGGATTTCACTTAATCCATTCTTACATCTGGTATATCCAGCGTTGAGTGCTTAAAGGTTATTAATATATTTTTTTATACCTTCAGGTCCAGTAGTTGGAGCTTCACTTGAGGGTCCACCAATCTACTCTGCTGAAACTCTTGCCATTGCTGTCACCACTGCCTGTGTTGCTGCCCTCGTCATTGGCTTTATCTCGGGCTTCCTCTTCTCCCGCAAGTGCCGAGGAGATGAATATGCTCACACATACTCAGAGACGCCTTACTTGGACTCAAAACTCAATAAGTGGGTAACTAAGCCTAATGTTGAAATGCAGTATACTGTATCTTGCATCACTTGCTTGACTTAATGAAAATAGTTGAAGCAAATTATAATGATCGGATACTGTACTACCAAATACCCCCTGTAGTTTGGTTTTATTATTCACTTTTTTTTTTTTTTCAGAAGAGACAATTTAGTACCTTCAGCGGACCCAAACATGTATACGGCCAACAACAAACAAATCAACAATCTAGTGACTAACTACAATCCCAAGAATATCAACGGCAAGTCCAACACCAACACCACAACGGACAGCAAGCTGCTCAAGCCTGCCAAATGTGCCTATATTTGAATGGGAGGGATAGTCATGCCTTGTTGTTGGCCCTAGTGTTTTTATTTTAATTTTTACTACGGACAGGCCTTAGCATCGGCATTTGCTTAGGCTTGTTGCATATGGTCTGAAATTGTCATGATGAGAAAATTTGTGTAGTAAGACACAAATACCTCACTTCCCCTCTACACAATCTGAAAGGATGTTGTGTATCATTGAGGAAGTTCTGAGGTTAATTTCTTTTCAATATTTTGACAATGGATGATCCTTGCCATCTGTACAGCTCAGCTTGTCGTGAATAAAGAAAAAAGAAAGAATATTTAAAAAGTGTGAGGGATCACTTCTGTTCTGCATGATACTAGTTCTTGTTGACAGGTTTTTGATATGTTGGACAACAGGTGAACTTGATGGACAAGAATGAGAGAGAAAAGTCAATAAAAGGCTCAGATATTCAATGTGAACTGAGAAAATAGATCTTTCAGATGTAAGACCTTGGTAGCAGCAATTGTTTGGACCCAAGGTATTAAGTGTTGATAATAGAAGAGATTATTGAAAGTGTTGAAGTGTAACATTCCAGTCAGGTGTTTGTGTGCTAGTGGTGGCCCCAGCTGGAACAACAGTTAAATGCTTACCAAGGAAATGATATTTAAGCTGTATGTTAAAAGCAAAAGTGTGCACAAGTGCCAGAAAAAATACTTTATTGATTTCAAGTGACATGCACAGAAAAGGCTTGATGATAAAAATTATTTGGTGGACTGAAGGGCATATCATTTTATTTTGTATGATTATTTTTTTAAGTTGCTGAGACAGGCTTTGGTGTGAGGCAATAATTATTAAGCACCAAGGGAAGAAATCTTCATGCAAAGGAGCAAAATTGTTAAATTGAGGGAGTTTTTACATATTGGGAAGTAATCTTATGAAGTGCAGTGTGAAAACTGCACATTCTCCATAAAGTCAAATGCTGTATTAAATTTTGCATATCAGTAATTAGTGCATTACAAACCTCATTGATTAATGAAAACGTGTGTGTATTGTAGGAATTGTTGGTACAGTAGTATGTGCTGAGCTGGTTACTCGCCATCCTGGATGTTAAAATGTATGTGTGTAATATCTCCTATCTTCCTTGTTTGGCTGTTTGTCACTTCAGCTGCGGTAAGAATGTAAAAGAAGAATATAGCTAATATTATATCAAGTATATTAATCTCATTTATTTCATCAGTTAAGCAGATTGAGTACTTTCAAGAAGAATCAAATTTTTCCCACTGTTATATCAAGAGTTCTTTGATACAAAGCTAAACACTAATGCAGAAAACATTTCATACTGAAGTTAAAATAGAATAGCAAACATGAAAATGTGTGGGAAGGTAAAGCATCAGGTCGTAAATTATACCCAATGTTAGATAATGACATAGCGCATGACTGTGCATCACTGTTGCTGCTGGATTGTACGAATCTGTGAAGGCAACCTAGTGAGACTCATTTGTTTGGCTGATTTAGAAAGATGTAGAAAGGTGCTAACCATAACCTGCATTTTGGCAGATTGTTTTATACTGCATGCATCCCACCTTATAATTATTCAGTATTACTTGTACTTCAATTGACAATGGGTATCTGTTAATGGTCACACATTGACTGAAAAGTTAGTTAAGTGCAGAGAGGATATTATATATGGAAATCATCCTGCCATGTAAAAGAAGTGTTAGGAAACAGCTTAGGTGCCTACATGAGTAGCAAAAAAGAGGATACATTAGGTGTTGCATCTACATAGACGCCTTAACGTTATTTTATGTTAAGCGTTATTACCTGTTTTGACTATGTTTTCTGTATATGTTGTCCCAGAATGTTTGTACATTTGCTACTGCTGTACATATTGAGTGAGAGTTGTGTATGTAAGGATATAACATGAGTACGTTATGGATGTGTATGATAAATGCTTGTGCCTACTGACAAGATGATGAGCTTCCCAGTGACTCTGGCAGTTTCAGAGCAAGGATTAAATAGGAGATGTTGATGCTAAAAATGATAAGACGGCACATACAGAGGTCTTAGATTAATCATATAGAATTGGGTTTCTTCATTATGTTTTTACTCCTTTCAAAATTAAATCTAAAATACATACAGTACCTGTAGATAAAGGTATTTATGTTTGTGCATGTGTGCTTGCTTATATGCATACATAATATGCATGTATGTGTGTGTGTGTGTGTGTGAGTGCAAGTTGTAAACTTGGTAAATATAAAATAAATTCTTTGTTTACCTTGAATTCAGTATGAAAAAATATTACTGTATTTTTTTTTTTACAAAGAAAATGTCATATTTTTCAACCTGTTTCATTCTTGCTCTTTATTAAGAAGCTTTTCATTTATTTTTGCTCCTGATGATATTTACAGCGTCTTACTGATTATTGCTTAATGTTTTTCATCGATTTTGTTGATGTGGGGGCACACAGCAGTCCATTTGTAGATTACATTAAAAGATTTTATAAAATTTTAAATTATGTTAATGTAATGATTAGTTCAAACTGTATAACATTTTCCTTTTTATTAATTTCTGATGCAGGTTACTTTTGAGTTTCCAAGTGTGTATTGGCAGCATTATTCTGTGTGCCCCATACATCTTGAGGCTGTAAACTGTTGACATATTACAACCATATAAAATTTTTAAGAAAGACTTGTCTCATGTAATAATAATATAGATAGGAGTCATTATGGACCAGGAGTTTCATCTTTAGCCTGACAAAGTAGTGCCTTCATGATAATAAAGATGAAATATTAGGAGAACCAAGGCTGTAATGTTAGGATTTAAACTGTTGTTTGTTTTAATTAAAGATGTTATTTTTTTTACTAAATGAAGAATAGTGTGTGCAATATTGGATAAACATTATTTGATTTAAAAACAATCCTAACTAAATTACATTATAAATTTTTCACTTCACTATCAGTTACCTAAAAATTTCCTGACTGTGAGAACGTGATGTATCCTTAGGTATATTTTTTATTCTTGTAGCTTAGCTCTAGGTTTGTCATCCGTTTCTTTATTGTGTCCTGCCCGTCCCATGTGTATATGTTCGGGTCTTATTATACTGTATGCATTTAGACCAGGTCCACCTAATCAGTGCTCATTGTCAAATTTTCAGTCTTAGGCTAGATTTGTATATATATATATATATATAATTTTAGTTGATTTTGTATAGTAATCTGGACCCCTAAATACAGTAATGTAGTACTTTTTACTCAAATGTACATAAATATTGTCAAATAAATCTATGCAAAATTTGTAATAAATAAACAAGATGGATTTTTCTATCATATTACCTTCTGATATCTTCTCTAATCACCCCACAGCTTGATACTAATTTGAAAATGTATAAATATGGCACCAGAAGCATACACACTGATTGCCATAACCCTTAAACTTGCAGCAATAGAATCAAACTCACATAGTCCAAATGTGAGTCAATATTTTTTTTCTCAATAACATGGAAATACAAGTAATATCTCTTTTTGCCAGAATCCCTGAAACTCTCTGATGGCTGGAAATGAAATTTTCTCGGAAAGTCGTTCCCAACGCTGGAATTCTCCAGAAAATTCCTGCTTTGAGACCCTCCAAGGGCGGGATGAGCCCCCAGGGACCCTCCCAAATGTGGATGCGACCCCAGGGGCGGCAGTGCCCCCCAGAGACCTCACCAAGGCCCTCCAGAGGCCCAATGGCGTGGTTTGTCGTAGTGTCATAAATACGAGTATTACATACTTCCAGCAGTCCCTTACTTAACTAATGGTAAAATATTTTCCAAATTTTTTCCAAAACTTTTCCCAAATTTTCCAAAAATGTTCAAAACCATTTTCAAAACCTCCTGCCCCAATATACACATAAAACATTAATAGAGAGAATAAAAGATGAGAGTGACCTACCAGCTCCACTAAGAACCTGGCAGGCCTCTCCATACAGTGTACCTTTAGACTAACACTACTAACACTTAACTAACACCTAAAAAAAAAAAAAAAAAAAAAAAAAAAAAAATGTGACTACCCTCCCAGTTACACAAGGACCTGGGCGGGCTCACTAACTCCAATAAATAACAAATAATAATAATAAGCAGCACTATATAAATAAACCAATATTAATACAAAGGTCTGACGACCCAAGGGAGCAGAACAAAGATAAAACACCAATAGGAAAGATGAAGCGATCTGGTTGAGCCCAGATTCTTTCTACTCCTACTGTATTTCAGTTTCACCACTTTTCCTTCAACCCCTAATAATCTTCTTTCACCTTATAACTAAAGACTCCGTACCGTACAGTACCAAACATGCCATAGGGCCCCTGGGGGCCTTGGTGGGGTCCTTGGAGGTGGAACACCCCCCTGGGAGGGTCCCTGGGTGTGCGGCCGTCCCCGGGAGGGTCCCTAGGGTTGCGGCCGGCCCTGGGAGGTTCCCTGGGTGCGTAGCCACCCTTCGAAGGGTCCCTTGCAGCATAGCCGCCCCTGGTAGGATCTCTGTTGGTGCCGTCATCCCAGGCGCCTCCGTGCCTGGCACGGCCAATTGACCCTCACAGGGATAGAGGCGACCCCAGGAGCCATACCACAGCGGTGGCACATTCAGAGGCCCTTCCAGAGGCGGTGTCTCCTCCAGGGTCCCTCTATGGGGTGCCTCTGTCCCCAATGACCCTGCCAGGGGCTGCAGCACCCCTATGGGCCCTCCTAGGACCGGCAGCGCTGGTATGGGCCCTCCTAGTCATAGTGGGTGCCTTTCCAGGGGCGGCAGGGTATCTGCCAGGGGCGACGGCGCCTTCAGGGGCCCTTCCAG